GGTACACAAGTACATAAAGAAGCCAAAGGCAAGCAGAAAGATTCTGATTCAAAAGAAAAGAAAGAACCCAAACTTTGGTTAGGGCTCACCTTATAACGGACTTGCACATATAGAAGAAATGCTTTATAGAAAAGAAACTCTTAAGGGGAAGCCCAGTTGCTGAGACCAGATCAAGTGTTAAACAGGCCTACCTTTGAAAAAGTTTTGCAAACATAACTATTTGGCTAGGAGCAAAGAAAAAAATAATTTAAAAAAAAGCAAAAGTAGGTGGGTAGATGCATTTGCACGAATGTGAGCAAGAGCGCCATTGCTGAAATGAGCTATGGCCCCTGCAAGGAATGGGGAGAGTGATTAAAACAAATAAAGGGCAATTCGTTCAATGGCAAGAAAACAGCACAAAACAGGCTCTGCAAAACACATTGATTCGTTACTCTGGCATGTAGATTGTTCCTAAGATAAGAAATTACTTGTGTTTAACTGGAGGTAGGTAGAAGAACCAAGGCTAAAGTAGATAATTTGCCTTAGTGAGTGCATGAAGTAAAAAAACATATATGTTATACCAGTGTGAGACTTGGATAATTGTAGGAGACTTCTGGGCTTTAGTTTTGTGAAACTGTGACCATGCCACTGTACCCATAAAACCACATAAGGACAAAATTGCCTAAGTAACAATATTAAAAACACCATACTTGGCACTGAGGAAAGTAATGAGATGGACTGACTGTTTGGGCAGAGAAAGGGAGGCCTAAGGGCAGCAAAAAAGTGGGTTCAAAAATAGAAAAAAATGGTGAATAAAATCAGGTAAAGAGGAAAGGAGGGTGTAATCTTTCAATAGTAGGAGTGCAGATGCCTACAAATGTACACATTGTCTCTTAAGTCAGTTATGTCTCAAGCCTGAAACCTAAAGGCTTAGAGCTGGACAAATAAAAAGTAACCAAAAAAAATCTCTTTGTGGTTGTATTTTCTCTCACTTAAGCAGCTGGGACTGGCTATTGGTAAGAGAGGATATTGATACAGGCTATTGGTAAGGGAGGATTTGCTGATGAAATTTTATCAGCAATCTTGTATTGACAAAATTAAGAAGTTACAGACATGGATTTAAGATTTATTTGCTGATTAATCTGCTATCTTTGTGTCTTTTGTATCTTTTACAGATATGACAATCTTCTTGTTCAGCAACAAGAGGTATTTTCAATCTCTAAAACCCTAGAAGCATCCAAGCTAAGTGAAGAGTGCTCTAGATACGTGAAGGCACTTCCTCGCTTCAGGTAAAATGTCTTTCCTTATAGGCAGTTTTTGTGCTGCTTAGTTCCATGGTCAAAGCCTTCATTCAGACAGATAAAGAAACATGCTTGTTGGCCAGCCAAGCATCCTGCCAAAACAAAATTTCCACTGCCAGCACTGATACCATTTCATTTGGATGTAGCTTCTCATCCCACAGGTTTTGGCTGTTTAAAGGGAAAGCAGTTCTCAGAACAGATGGAGTTAGTAATAAAGCTCTTTCTAGGAGATACAAGGATTACACAGGGAATGAAATGGTGAAACAGTGTCTGCAGTACACGCTGTAAGCTTAAACCACACAAAGTAAAATTCCCTTCCCACTGAGAACAACATGGTGGGGAAAACTGGAAGTGACAGCGTTGCTTTCCAAAATGTTAAATATCAAGGTTGTTTCCCCTCAGAACACTGGCTATTGAAACTATTTGTGAGATGCGTTCCAGCCTCGCACCCACAAAAAATCTTGTGACTTGTCATTTTGAGTCAGTGTCAGGAGAACTGCCAAAAACAGGAATGAAGTAGCTGTCTCAAAAGAGCAAGAGAGAGTCTATGCACCAGACGGGAAAATGGTGCAGGTTTTTGCCTATGTGCAACGTAGCTCCTGAGCTCTCATTTGAGTTCTGCTGGGAGATTTGCCCCAGCCACCCTACTTTCAGCAAAACAGGAAGACTTGCACCTGAAAAGCCTCAGGTCCTTCAAGTTTTTCAGGCTATCTACTTATGCTTAGACTAAAATCTCTCCTAGGAATAGCCCATACTTTTGGACATGTGGACAACAACTACCACGCCGCTTCTCCAATGAGGAATGAGTGTTTCGAGTCAGCATTTCCAAAGCCACAGCCACCATAAGCACCATTCCAAACTGAGCAGGGGGAGATGGGAAAGGGAAAGGAGTGCTTAAGAACAAGCAGTATCCAGATAAACCATTCCAATCCAGACCAGGGCTCCATTTAACCTGGTAATCTGTTCCCACGCATGCCTATAAACCAACATGCGGAGAAGCGTTAAGGGCAAAGCAAGCATATCTGAAACTTCTTACGCATCCTTTCCCAGCTTCCAAAAACTTTCATCTCAGGAGAGGTCCTGAGCCTAATGTGATTTGTCTATTTAGAGATCCCCAGTGGATCTTTCTCAAGTATTTGCCCTATCATTTGATTCGCTTTGTTTATTGTTATTGAGAATTTAGCTGGCATTTTAAATCAAGGACTCTGATAATGTCATTCAAGAAAATGCTGTGGTTATATTTTCACACTGCTATTCCACAGTGCTTTGCATTTTGTAATAAATTGCAATATCCTGTTTTAACTGCCCTTACAGACCTTAGTGGGAAGGGACTTTCACTTTATGTGATTTAAGTTTACATGTACTCCAGTAATCCTAGACATTATCTCTCCTTATTATTCCCTATGTAATTTCGCTTTTATCAGCTATTGGCTGATTATGACCTAAAGTCCATTCAAAGCAGACAGATCTATAACCCCAAATCTCTTTACATGGCTAATGTCTTTACATGCACATGCTTTGTGCTTAAGAACAGTTACTTGGCTTCCCACTCTTGCTCTGGACATGTAATTTATCATTATGATAGTATGCAGAAACAAGAAATAGGCCTGAACCTTGCTATTCAGTGTAAGGTCTCCTGGATTGCTTTGAATTGGCTTTTATATTTAATACATCATGGCTGAAATATTGGCCTTCTCCTTGATCTATAGGATTACTTTAATTATCTTCATTGAAGCCAGGATTTCACCTCAGGAAAAACTCTAATTTTTGGTGTTACTCCCTAATGATCTTGTAAGATGCTTTTCTGTTTGCTAAGGTACATAGGCTTTGCCTCCTTCAGGTTTACTCAGGGACAGAACAATTGACACCTGTAGCTTTCAGACCAAAAAAGACTGAGATGGCCAAATTAATGTTTTATCCAGCTCTGCCACACTACAGAGACATCTCTCTCCTTTTCTCTCTCTTGCAGAAAAGTGTTGCAGACTTTGCCTTTGGGTTGATCTCAGTTTATAGCTTTTTTTTTTTTCCAGTTGTCACTTTGCTCAGGAAAGTCCTTTTAGCAACTGCATTTTGAATTTCTATTCCAAATTCTGAATCTGAGAAGTCTTCCGGGAGATGAGGCAATCCTACCGCCCTTCCCTATTGATCATTCCTTGCCATCTGCAACATCCACTGATTTTTGAAGGCAGCATAGCTTAAAAAAATAAAATAAAAAAAGCTAGCCTGAATGCCAAGTCCACAGTGTTGGTAGTGAGCAGGTAAATAATCATTTAAAAAAAAAAAAAAAAGGATAAGCCTAATTTTACTTGAGTTTACTGTTAAATAGCACATTCTTAAGAACTGTCAAATAAAATGCAGGAAATGCAATTTTTAGCAGAAATGCAATTTTTAGCAGAGTTAAAGGAAAGTACGCAATTCTAAAAGTTTGAAGACTTGTTTTTTTGTATCGAACAATGACTTGGACAAGAGCACAGAGTGCACCCTCAGCAAGTTTGCAGATGACACCAAACTGGGAGAAGTGGCCGACACTCCCAAGGGCTGTGCTGCCATTCAGAGAGACCTAGACAGGATGGAGAGTTGGGCAGAGAGGAACCTCATGAGGTTCAACAAGGACAAGTGCAGGGTTCTGCACCTGGGGAGGAATAACCTCAGGCACCAACACAGGTTAGGGGTTGACCTGCTGGAAACCAGCTCCACAGAGAGGGATTTGGGAGTCCTGGTTCACAACAGGATAACCATGAGTCAGCAATGTTCCCTCGTGGCCAAGAAGGCCAATGGGATCCTGGCCTGCATCAGGAAGACGCATCC